AGTGCTCCCCTGTGTGGGCTGTGTGCACTGTCCTGTTGTAATTGAGCCTTGGTTGCTGTTGGCATCACTGGGAGGAATTGACCCCCCGGCCAATCAGCTGTGAGGACCAGCTGGAACTACAGCCAAAGAGCTGCTGTGCTAGAGACACCTTTATGGAGCAGGATTTACTTCAGTGGGGTTTGGTGTTCACCAAGAGCACCCCTTGAGTGTGTCACTCATGGATGTGATAGGGTTGTAATCCAGTGTGGTTGAGTCTGACCACCAGGTACCCTGTCTCTGGGGCCTCCCGAGAAGTGCAAAGTCAGCCTCTGCCAGTGCCTTGCGCAGGGCCACCCAGCATGAGCTACACAGCAAACCGTAGTTGGCTGCTATTTGTGATGGGCTTAGAGGTGTCCAGGAGAGGCCAAGCTATGAACCAATGTAGGCTGCCATTAGAGCCAGGCCTGGGGCCACTTATCAAGTCGTATGGGGCACACTGCTGCTTGTTTGAGAGATTTTAGGAAAGTCCTAAGCATGAGGCTCAAGAGGCCACTTGCATAGAAAAACCACTGGAAATGGCTTGGAGGAGCTTACAGGTAGGAAGGGTGGAGCCTTTGGGAATCACCAGGGCAGGGCCAAAGGTATGAGTGAAGTGCTGGAAATTCAGATATGGCGCCTGCCTGCCGGCTGTGTGCGGGGAGGACCCGCCAAAGGAACAGTGGCCTCTGCCAGCTCTTCTGCCTGGGAGAAAGCTGCCCCTCCAGCTCTCCCCAATTTCAGGCATGTTAGTTCCTCCCCAAGTGTCCCAGGTTCCTTTCAAGCTGTTGCCCAGCACTGGGGCTCAGAGAGAGTGCATCTGAGTCTGTGTGCGGGACCTTTAAGACGAGCTTCCTTGGACTCCCACACCCTCTGCGACCCTCAGTGACAGTCCCTGCTGGTTTTCACAGCCCGAAGTTGTGGGGACCTCTCTTCTTGGCCCTGGAGCCCTGGATTGGGGGGCTTGATTTGGGCCTGCGACCCCTCATTCCCCCAGGAAACCTCCCCCGCCAAGATATCCCTCCTGTGTTTAAACCTCGGCACTGGGTGTGGGCCTGCAGCCGTGTCTCTGTGGTTCAGACCCAATCTGCCTGCATCTCTGCCCCTCCTACCGGTCTGGATGCTTCTTCAGTTCCCTGGTTGTAGGGCTTCTGCTCACCCAGATTTCAGGAGGTTCTGAGTGATGGTGGTTCTGTATTTTAGTTGTAATTTTGATATGGTTGTGGGAGGCGGCAGGTACAGCTGTTACCTATGCCACCATCTTGTTTCCTCTTAGATCATCTTTTAAAATACTAAAATAAAATACAAGTTTCTGGGAGGTGAGCCTGGCTGGATGACTGGGGCTCGCTCGGCTCCACAGGGGGCACAGGGCTCTGAGGGAGGACAAGTTCCAGAGCCTGCGGTGGGGGCTGTGTCACCAGGAGGCTGCCTGCCTGTCCACCTGCCTGGCTAACACTGGTGCCCAGACTCTCCGCCCGGTATGTGCTCTGGGGGTTGCTGCTGGGTGGGTCTGCGAATCCTTGGCCTCTAGCAGAGGGAGGGCAGAGTGGACTGGAGCTGTGTGAGGAGAACCTAGGGCTGTGGGCCCTGGACATAGAGCTCAAAGGGCACCCCTCTGCATTCCTGTGCCGAGAAATTCCCCCATACTGCAAAGGCAGACATTTGCCTTCCCCAAAAAATGTTTTCTTGGCATTTAGTTCTAAGAGGAGTTTATCATACTCTGAAGAGATAATTGCCTTAACTGTCAAAACTCTTGTTGTTGACTAAATAAAATCCATAGCTTTTAAGAACACCTATGCCCATGGCTTGTTGTCCTTCCATTGGCCCACAGCAATAGAAAACAAAGAAGGATGCCTGAAAAAGCTGCACAGAAAAAGCTGCATGTCTGTATAAGACCTCGAGTCTGATATACGAGGAAAAAGTAAAAATAGAGAACTCTTCAGCCATAAAATGTAAATTCTAAGAAGTGATTAAAATTACTACAGTCACAAAAAGCATGAATAATATGGTCTTAATACAGGTATTTTAGGCCACTCAGTTAAGCCTGAAAGATAAAATTAGTATAAATAAAATTATGAAATTAAATTTAAAGGAACTAATTCCCTTTGAGTAGTAGTTTACATTGAAAATATTAATTATATTTTTAAGTTTACATAATTTGTAAAAACATAACAATAATGACACCTATTTTTTCAGGTACAACATAAAGCTTTGAGATTGAAATCAAAGAAGACATGCACTTCCACAACAATGAGTAACAGAATACAGGTGCATTTGAATAGAAAATTTGACCCAGTATACAAACTCACATAGGACAAAAATAAGAACAAGAACCTCAGGCTTCATGAGACGTCTACTAAAGGTGACAGAGTAGATAAAAAAAAAAAAAAAAGACAAAAAAGAGCCTGGCTGGTGTCGCTCAGTGGTTGAGCATTGGCCTAGGATCCAGGATATTGTGGTTCAGTTCCCAATGAGGGCACATGCCAGGGTTGCAGACTCCATCCCCAGTCAGGGGCGTGCAGGAGGCAGCCAATCAATGACTCTCTCATCATTGACGTTTCTATCTGTCTCTCTCCCTCTTCCTTTCTCTCTCTGAAATCAATAAAGATAAATTTTTTTAAAAAGACAAAAAAGAATATTCAAGGATTTCAAACCTTTTCTACATCCTTCTCTCGATTTTGCTTTGACAAAACAAAGCACTTTATTCAAGGAGCTTCTTCTGGACT